AGACGCCTTCCAGAAATTCTCAGCGGCCTTTCGGCCCCTGAGGGGGTTTGGAATATAGTTTTCAACCAGCAATAGACGCGTCTCGGTTAGCCCTCACGGACTGCGTCATTGCCCCAAGCGCAAAGATGGTCATCAACGCTCGTGGATTTGCATTTTGTACTCGAGATTCGAGAAGGACCTCCAATAACCCATGGGGCAAATGGAAAGAATGGTTATGGGAGGGCCATCGATACATCGAATGCCGTGAAAATGGTAACCAAGGCGAAGTTTTCCCAAGTCGCGGAGTGCCTGGGAGTACGTTGTCATCCTTCGTTTTTCTTTTTTTTTTTCCTGGTAGATAGATAGTCATGGAGTGCGTCGGAATATCTGGATTCGAACACAGAGCTGTATTTTAGCAGTTCATTGAGTGTGGTGGATTCGAACACGGCTCCGCATTTTAGCAGTTCATTGAGCAAGGCCCGTGGGTGAGTGCCTGGGAGGAGGGTGTCTATCCATCGCCTGCATAAACGAATCTGCAAAACGAGAGTGAATCTGCCGATAGTCTATGAGAAAGATACGCCGCCATGATTTTTGTCTAACGTGGAAAACGACTGTGAATCTTCCTCTAGAATATGGAAAGATACACCGCCATGATGTTTTTTTTATTTTTTCAGACTAGATCAGCTTTTTTTTTTTTTTTTTTTTTTAATTAGAAAGTCCGTTTCTTTTGCTTTCAAATGGATGAGTAACAGGGGGCCATCCAGCGGCCTAGCTCAGTTGGTAAGGCACGCAAGTGGCATTCAGGAGGTCTTGAGTTCAATCCCCATTGGCCTCAGGTACCTTCCTGGGCACGCTTGGCACCCGCCACCTAGAGATAGCACGTTGGCCCCCCCAATTGGCATTAAAAGGCAGTCTCTGCTGATGTTCGCAGGGGGAGGGGTAATCGCTGAAGCACAGCGACTGGCCTCTCAGTTGATGCTCGGTCCCTCTGCTGCCAGCTGTCCCCTGGCCGGTGTCCCCCGTTGGGGGTTCCCTGAAGGCAATCAAGGCCACCCTGGCTGAAAAGGCCACCCGATGTCAGATTAGACAGAATATTGAATTTACCTGGGCTGGTTAGTCCGATGATAATACCTCAAGGCCATCGCCCTTTTAAACCACCAGTACTTGGCCCATACATAGGCCACGGGCCCTTAGCGTTAACGCTACGCGTTTGCCGCGCCGCGGCAAGGGCTTGGCAGGGCAATGGGCGAGGGAGCTGGTGGCCCCATGGAAACGGGGCAAAAGGACTGCACGATGTCCTGGTGGTGTGCTATGTGGAAACGCACGGACAGTGGTATCAAGGAGGCAAAAAAACAAAAAAGAAAATGGACAAGGAAAAAATAAAGATAGATGGTTGCTTTCCTTTCTTTTCATTTTTTTTTGGGGGGGGGTGGAAGAATGTATCTGGCTTCACTTCTGCACAGCGTTATATGAATCTTAGGGCAATCACTTTCAGATGCTGGTTTCCCGTTTCCCGCTTCTCGTTTTTTTTTTTTTTTTGGGTAATCAGATCGTTGGCTGTTTCTGCACTTGCTCCCCGTGAGAGACGGGGAGCATTCAATGCCTCAGGTCCCAGAGGCAGTGTGACGTTGCAACTTCGACGCATGGGTCCCAGAGGCAGTGTGACATTGCAACTTCGACGCACGTATCTGGCTTCACTGCTGCACGGCGTTGTATGAATCTCAGGCCAATCACGTTCAGATGCCTGTTTCCGTTTCCCCCTTTTCGTTTTTTTTTTTTTTTTTTTTTATTAAGATAGTTGGCTCAACTTGGCTGCTTCTGCACTTGCTCCCCGTGAGAGACGGGGAGCATTCATTGCCTCAAGTCCCAGAGGCAGTGTAAAGTTGCAACTTCGACGCATGTATCTGGCTTCACTGCTGCACGACGTTCACGTTTCTCTTTTTTTTTTTTTTGGCTTTTTTCACGGGAGCATTGAATGCGTGAGTGGAAACAAGAAAACAGATTCAGTCGGGGCGACCGGGAAGCGTTTTCTGCGGCGCGTTTATCGTGCCTGCGCTAATGCTTGTTGCTGAAACAGAGCAACCAGCTAACCCTAACTCTTGCTATCTATGGTGAGGGGGAGGGGAGCATCGTTTCCCCTAGAGGGATCTCAATGTCCATCGCTAGGACATGTGAGGAAGATGCGTTGTAACCGGGGAGATGTCCTCAAACTTTTCATTACCAGACTTACCGAGACTGGGTAACTTCAGTTACCCCGTCTTTCAGAATCTGTTCGTTCACCTGCGAGATGTGCTTTTCTCTATTTTTTCCTTCCAGCTTGGGACGAAGTGCATCATGACGACGCAGCATGAGGACGCACGACTCTTCTACGGCTAAAGATACCTTTACGGGGTAAAGTTTTGWGTATGGAAAGTTCTATCGAAGAGGTAAGTTTTCCACTTGGTTACGGCGTAGCAAAGCTGTTGCGACGTTGGTAGAGGAGGTTTTCGTCCTCCGCTCTTTATGATAGAGACACGATAGTGTTTTGCCGCCTTATTGCGACCAACTTTGAGATTGAGTCGAAGGCATTATTGATTTTACGGTTTCTTAGGATTGGTCCATTCTAAGAATAGTAATTCAGTAATTTATTGTCGCAAATGCCTTTCTGCTGGCCCGCAACTTCAAATATGTACATTCTCCCCCCCACCTCCCCCTTTATCCCTATTTTCTCCATCAATAAATGACAACGCAATCTTCATTCACCTGTGTCGTTCACGACAAAGTCATTTCTAATACTACCATATAGTTCCCCCCCCATGACTCAGCGTAACTATTCCTTCAATCCTAATCCCGTGCTCGTAATTTTCATTGTCCGGAAGTTGGTAGCGACATAATAATGCCAGGTATTTGCCCATGGCTCTTTCCTCGCCCGGGAACAGTGACAAACTTATATAGCCTTTTTTCTCCTAGCCTTCCCATCCTCTTGTATAATTTTCGTGCTCTTCTCCGCTGTTCCCCCCCCCCCTTTTAATACTAATAGTCCCACCTGTATAGAAGGTGTTAAATATATATATATACATATACATATATATATATATATATACGATATATATATATATATATCCGACGAAACAGTTTGTCACAGCCCCTCGTTTGTTGTCCTCTTTTCTCTCTCTGCCTACGGTTTACCGAGCAGTTCTGTTTGTGACGATATATATAAATATATATATATATATATATATATATATATATGGGCAGTTCTATTTGACGATATATATATATATATTATTTCATAGTACCACTCAATGGTTCGGATAATCTGGTAGGTTTTTCAGCTCCTTCTCGAAACACCTCGTCCGCGATATCCTTCCATATGTTCTCGAAATGTGCGACCGAGTAATAAAATTTGTCCTCATACATCTCACCTCACTAATAAAATACTTATCATTACACTTCCTCCCCCCCTCATAGTATCCCACGCAAGACCTCTCTCAAATCGCACCTCCAGTTATACTCTTTTTATCTGCTGCTCCCAACTAATATACTTTTGTAGATCCTCTATCTCASGCAGTCTTCTCCACGCTACCCTGTAATGCTCTCCCCATTCCTGCCTTGGCTTAAATACGTCTCCCCTCTCCAAATCCTACGCTCCTAGTCTATCCCCTGTATCACGACCCCTATAACCCCCCCGATTCCTTACACAATCGATGTCACTACTCTCCGCACCTATAGAACCTAGAAGCTCTCCGGTTATACCTATCTCATCCGTACGAACACCCAGTCTTCACTTTACTTCCCCCCCTCAATCTCCTACAAACTCATCACTCCTCACCCCCCCCCCTAACGCCATACCAACTTCCAATTTCAAATTTCTTCCGGTATGATACTCCCTTTCCATTACACCGGAAACTTTCACCCCTTTCCTATTCCTTTTTATCTAGCGCTTCAACACTATATTTATATTTAATATATGGGGTATTGTCCTTTCTGAGCTATCTTTTTTTTTTTTYTTTTTTTTTTTTTTTTCCATGGATCCGGGGAGCTCGCAACATCAGCCTATGCAAGGCATCGACAATACGGAGGAAATCCGTATCAGGTCACTACTGAAAGCATGCTTTACTCAAGGGAACATCCCAGACCTCGCACAGTATGTCACTTTGACGAGCGCGAATGGGGTCATTAGTGGTGATGTGAATGATGAATTCAACCAGGTGCAGATCCGGTGGCTAAACGAACACACTCTTGTGTTCTCTTTTCAAGGTGCTTCGAAAAACCTGGGAATGAAAGAAAAATTACGCTTTGTCAGGGATCTGGAAGATGGTCGGTTGAAACCGGAACAGAAAGCATTGGGGAGGGGCACAACACACGTGGAAGGACGAAACATGATTACCTACATAGGCCGCACACAGGACTGCATCAAAGCTATGTCGGGTAAAAAACCAGAGATTCAGTTTCRTCTTGATGGGAAGAAATACTCAGTCTTTCTTCGACCGTGGATGYCAAAAAAGGAATGGGAAGAMGAACGAGATAGAGAGAAAAAGGAAAACTATTGGGTSATGGTTGTTYGTTTTCCTCTTTTCGTTCTCTCTCTAGYGCGCACAATGCTAGAGAAAGCCCTTGGGAAAATTGTGAAAGAATACGACCCAATCGATGATGAGATGATGCCACATCTTGTGAATGTCAAGTTTGGCATGGAACAGGGAGYAGAAGAAAGATTTMAGAAGTTAAGGGAGTCAGTGGATGGCGATTYTCTTCTRCAACTTCATATCAGGGTAGGCTCAGATGTGATGTCAGCCGAAGTGGTGGATAGTTTGACCCCGTGGTGCACGTCATGTCGTTGGTATATGCACGAATGGAGAGACTGTCCAGATAATC